GGGGGGGGGGGGGGGGGGGGGGGGGGGAATAATTGTAAAATTAGCTTTGGCAAGGAAAGTTGAACTATTGTAGAATAAGTCTGAATAAGGACCATTTCAAAAATTGGATGTGAAAAAAAGTAAGATGATTAAAGAATTTTTACATTCGCTGTATCAGAATTCTGTATCCCATGTCTATGAAATAAGATGAAAATACACGTAGCAGACATAGCCTCTACACAACTCAAATGCATTTCGTAGGACAAAATTGTCTATTAGATAGCAGTTAATTATTTGTTTCTTGTTCTCACAGGAAAGTTTGAAATCAGTAGAAATTAGTCCCAAGTCCTCGGAGCAGGGGATGTTAACACAGTTGGGACAACGTACTTACTGGTGTATCTCCCGTCAGAGGTCCTGGGGACTTCCTATACCTGTGTTCTACCACAAAGTCACCGATGAGGCCCTCATCAATAGGTAGGTCTGCATGTCATCAACAGGTAGGTCCACACAAGGTGTGGTTAAAAACACTACAATTTTCATAATATTTAAAACCTCCTATATACAGAAACTTAAAAAAAAAATGAATGACCTCCTTTTGTACTGTAATGTGCAGTGGTTATGCAAAAGGCTTTAAAAAGTAATAAAATCACATTTTTCCAAAGCCATTAAATACATACTTCTTAAAATCCCAATAAAATACTGCAAACATACTTATTTAGCTGTAGTCTTATTTTAGCACCTTTGCACTGTAAATATAAAGTGCTAATTATGATGACACTGATTGAAGCTCAGGTATATTTTTTTTATTGCAATTCATCAAGGTGCTAATCTGATCAAATTTGACAATGTGCCAAAACATATTTTGGATAAACTTGTACTCTTTGTCCACAGCCAGACAATTGACCACCTGAAGCAGCTGTTTACCAAGCATGGCAGTGACTGTTGGTGGACAATGTCTGAGGAGCAGCTTCTACCCAAGGACCTGCTTGACCAGGTAACTTGTGATCTAACTGAACAAACTGTTAAAATGTTAAGTTAGCTGGTTCATTTTCACTTCATTCAATATCAGTCTGCAAGTCTTGGAATACCTTTGCTGACATTCACTGAGGTACATATTCTATGAACCTACAGCTTATTTTACAAAGTTAATGGTATACTGACTCATTAAACTACATTTTCCAAACATGGACAGAATGCACTAGTAATGTAAGGTTTAAGAATTTGCCTGACACATTGAGCTTGGATTATAGATGGGAGCTAGCTGGTCGGATTATAACAAGGGCAAGGACATTCTGGACATATGGTTTGACAGTGGCTCATCCTGGTCTGTACTACGCAAAGGTGAGAATATCTTCTGTAGGTTAATATCAGCGAATAGTCTTAATCCTACTTAGAATAGTAATGCATGGTTTTGTTTGTCTGTCCATTCTTATGAATGACGACAACAGCTTTCTGTCCATTTTATTATCATGGTGCACGTGTGTTTACTAGCTGCCCAAGACACTATAGTTTTATTGTCTACACACCTCAAAACACAGACAACCTTGTCTGAGGTCAAACATCTACAATCACTATTCAATAAACCTAGATATC